CGCCAAACGAAGCTGAGGCTGTTGGAGAGTTACTCCCAGATATTCTCCGTTGTCTACTGCCTCAAGGTCTACAGGGTGTTCATAAAAATTGTCGGACAAAAACAGCTGGAGGTCTGGTTGTCGAAGCAGCCGTCGGTCAGTAAGTACCAAGCGGTTGTCCACATACCGAACTATGTGCAGTGGCAGTCGGGATTGCATGAGGAAACGCTCGCAAGTCTGCGCCCAGTGATGCTCTCTGTAAGACACTGCGATGTCACACAGGATGGGGCTGACCTGATTGCCGATGGCAGATCCTCTTACCTGCCGGAAGGTGCGCCCCAAATGACAGAAAACGGACGCGTCGAAACTCAGCTGGCACAGTGGCTCCAGGTCGTGCAGTCGAAGCGTTTTCACTGATCGAGCTGCTTGCCGCCGGCGACCTCGAAAGACACGCAGCGCTGCCTTTTTCAGTGAGGTGGACAGAGAAGGTGCTTGCTGCAGGATGCATTTTCTGGTACTGACGGATCATGTACCGAACAGCATTCATTATGCGACTCACAGGGATGGATGGGAAAAACCAACCAGGTCCTGATTGAAGGTCGCGATTTCGCTGTGTTCTGGCAGCGACTGCAAAAAGACGTGCAAGTCCTCCTTGAGTCCGTATGAGCTGTGAAGCACTTCGCGCATGAGTTGACGGAGAGTCATGGCGAGCGCCTTGAACAGGACCTCAAAGGTGAAACCAGCATAGCTGATAATTGGTCGGGCGCTCAGAAACCTGGCCAGTTTTTTGAAAAACTCAGCTGCGCTGGTAGGTGGAATCCCCAGCTGGCGGTAGACCAACTGGTCTCCAAACGTTCGAGTCAAACGTGCCAGTACAGGAACGGGCAGTATACATGCACATGGTTGACCGCATGGTCTCTGCCGCGCACTACGAGATCCGAACACACTTGCCGGAGGTGTTTGACGTCCCGGTACGTGAACTGCTTGGAGGCTGCCTGCGTGTGGCTGGTCCATTGTTCATGGACAAAACTCTGCCACTCTTCAAAGCGCAGAGTGGTGAGCCTTTGGTGCTTGGCCCATTTTTGGACTGTGGTCCAGCTTTGCTGGACGTATCTGTCCTGTAGGGAATATACTTGGGGTGCGGCGGAATGTCTGAGGAATTCCTGGAGCCGGGGGTGAACCGTCAATTTGTCAGCGGGGGAAGCAATATGTTGCATTCCTTCGGCTTCAGACGTGGTGAGATCAGGATGGCTCATCAGAAGCTTCTGGCACTTGCACTCTGGTGGCGTGCTCCAATTGAATCTCTCCATCCAGTGAAAGTGAGAATACAAAAGTTTGGCTACCGTGCTTTGCTTGCCCGCAATGACTTGGCAGGGCGGTAAGTGAAATGGTACGAGATGATCTTTGAGATCATCGACGTACGTTCGCAGCCATCGTTTGGTGGCACTTGCAAACGTGCCGTGGGCCAGCAAAGGACTGACCAGGGGCCGGTTGGTAGTCGGAAGGACTCCTTGTCGGAATTGGATGGCTTTGGCAATCAGTGATCGCACCTTGGTTCTTGGTGGATCTTCCAGGTGATTGCTAAGCCGGTACAGTGCATACAAGTGCGCCAAAGGGTAATTGATGCTCCGAATTTTCTTAGCAGCAGAGAAGGACTGTTACCCGCTGCTGCCTAGGGCAATCAAAATTGCCCATTGCTGGTCGGGAAACTTGTTTGCGGACAGGTAAATATGCAGCAAGTTCTTGGCATACAGGCGCTTACGGAGCTTGGAAAAGAGCCGGTTACCAGGCCTGGCATACATGTGCTTTGCACATGTGAAATGGACAATTTGGTCGTTGTTCTTGGTGACCTTGTGTTTGAGAATGAATGGGTAATTCAGGGTTGGACACCACTTCTGAATGAGGGTGGCTTCAATAGCCCTGCGCTGCAACGTGGTGTCGAAAGTCTGCGCGGGCAAAATTACAAACTGATCGAACTTCAGCCTCGCACGCATCCAGTGGATGGCCAGTTCCGCACTGACTGGCTGTTTTTCTCTACTTGCCTGAGCTTCCGAATTCGGGCGTCTTGACGCTTGTTTACTGTACACGTTGTGGATCCCACATACGCATGTTGATCCTGCAACCTGAAATGGTTTTCTCGCTGTGTTAAAAAAGAAGCAAAGGACGGATTGAGCAGCACGTACACCGCAAAAGGCTGTTCGAAAGATTGGTGTGTGGCTGCTGTGGTGGGCTCAGTGCCCCGATTAATTAAACGGGATTGCCATACTTTGGTCGCATGGTGATTGGTTTTGGTGGCTCGCAGCAAAAGAGAACAAGCAAAGGCAACAAGCACACGGAGAAAAGAACGAGCTGGCCACCAGTCAGTAGACTTTCTTGAATATGCTAGCATTGTTTGAGCTAGCATACCGAGCGTCGCCGCCATGTTTAAAAAGGCGCTGTCCGCTCTTTGGCACGTCTCTAGTCACTCAGACATGGCTGCTGCAAACAAAAGCAGCGCGTATAGGTGCGCATGTTTGGCCTTGAAACAGTGAGACACGGGAAGTCCAAACTGAGCTGCTCGATCTGCCAAGTATTGGCTTTTCTCCGGGGACAGCTCTTTGAGCTGGGCTGACACCGAAATCGCTTTCAACAGTGTCGATTTCTGGGTTTTGTCCATCTCGGTCTTGTTGATGAACTTGGTAACTGCCGCTTTGGTGTGAGACGTGGGCGCATTCTGCGCAAACGGAAGCGGGTTGGGAACCGGGCTAATGAAATCAGTGGCTTTCTCATGCAACCTGGCAGGAGTGAGCGCCTTCTTGGCCTTCTTGGGAACTGGAAGCTCAGCACTTGGCATCTCGGGCGCTTCACGCTTTCCGGGTACCGACGAAGCTGGTTCTCCGGCTTGGGCTGCTGCTAGCTCTGTTTCGAGCTTTTTGATGCGGTCCTGGGCAGACTTTAAATCTTCGGAATGGAACGGCTGCAGCTGGTTCGCAACAAACTGCGTGAGTTTATCCAGTTTCCAAGAGCGAGATTCAACCTCGCTGCTCTCAGACGGTGGTGCGAAGCCTCGCTCTTCGCAGTACTTGGAGGCGAGCTGATCTAAGTCCCATTGTTTGTCTTTGATCTTGCTTTGCAAGAGAGACATGAAATTGGCTTCGCGGATGCTGCGGGCGAACATGAGTGAAACAAACCGTCCGTTCGCAAGCGCGCGTGTGTGGCCGTTTGGCCATCCCATCCACGCCAATTCTGGCACCATGACGCTCTTTACGCCCCTGCCCGCGAGGCCGTGTTTCACGGCCCACTGCGTGGGCTGAATCCGCTTGGGGAATTGCATCCCAAAGGTTTCCCGTTCATCATAATGCGTAGCGGTGGGCTTAAAATGTTCAGGAAGATTCAAGCTCGTAGCTTTGGTGCCTTGAGGAGACATTGTCTCCGCATGCGCCGGGCGAGCGGAAGTCTTTTTCTTTGGCGTCTCTGGCTTGTCTTGCCATGGTTCGTAGCTTCGGTTCCAGTCTGAGGACTGCCAGTCTGAGCTGTTCCATTGCGAGCGCCACCAATGTGACATTGTCCGACAACAGCAAACACTCTGCTCTCTGGGGAGCTCGAGCCAGCTCGCTAGCATGCTCGAGTTCATTGTCAACTTGTCAGCGGCTGAGCAAGCACTGATTGAAGTGTATTTCTAGAAGATGAGTTCAAGGAAGCGGAGACAGGTCAAGCCAATATTTGGTGCCTGATCTAGGATTGGTGTCTTCACCTTCTGACACGGCGTGTGGAGATCGAGTTCTAGAGTCGGTCCTCAGTATTTCATGGACGGAGTCAGATCGCGACCGCTAAGGGCCTGACGACAGTGCCTTTGACAGAACCACTGCCGCAAAACACACTTTGGAGCGCTCCCCGGAAGGAGAAAAAAAAAGGGTGGTGCAAGCTCAGTCGGTTGACCCGCTCCCCGCCTGGTAGAGGTGGTTCTGGTGAATCGGGTTCAGGTCCCGCTTGTTGGTGCGGATGGCGTTTCTCTTTGACGGGCCGTGACATGTCAGTAGAAACGAGCAACTGAGGTGATCAATCACTATCTATGCAGGTACACGGTCTGGCGTCCCAGACCGCTTCACAGCACATCTACCACCGTCTTCGTTGGGCAGTGGATGGTAGAGTGCTCACTGCCCCCCTCTGATGACTCAGGCTAAATGTGATCGTCAAACCTTATACAAAGTGCTTGACGGTGTTCCGGCGGGGTCCCCCTAAGCCAACTGACGTCGTCAAATTGTTCAAACCCAAAAAGCGGAAGAAGCAATTCAAAGAGAGTCGCGTGGCTTCGCCACCCAAATGGTGCTGGCTCCTGAAACGTGAGCGCCAGATCTTGGCGTCTCTGTTTTGAGTGGGGCCCCTAAATCAACCAACGTCGTCGAACTGTTCAAATCTCAAAAAGGAAAACAACCAAACGTGTCCGATCGAGCGTGTGGAAAGGGATCGGAAGATGACCTGTGGGCTCTTTGATCTCAGAGCTTACCCACACACACAAACACACACAAACACACACACACACACACAAACACACACACACAAACACACACAAACACACACACACACAAACACACACACACACACACACAAACACACAGCGGCACAAAAACAAAAAACACAAACACACAGAAACAAAAAATGAACAAAACACCAAACGCAAACGCAAACCCAAACGCAAACACAAACGCAAACCCACACCCAAACCCAAACACACACAAACACACACACAGACACACACAAACAGACACACACACACAGACACACACACACACACAGACACACACCCACCCACCCACACCCACCCACCCACCCGCCCGCCCGCCCACCCACGCGCACGTAGGCGCGCGGAAAAAAACACGCGTACACGCATGCACACGCGCATGCACACACGCACGCTGCACACACGCACGCACGCACGCACGCATTTGCACGCACGCACGCACGCACGCACGCACCGACACACACACACAAACTTACAGAGACACTCACGCGACACTCTGGCATTCGCAGTGACAGGTCACTTTGACCGCCCACTCCTCCTTCTCCGGCCTGCATTCGCTGATGGGCTAAGACACCGCTGGGCTTGTGCCTTCTGAACCTCTTGCAGAGGCTGGAGTTGTCCATTTCAGCAACACCCCAACGCCACTCCCCCAAAAAACAGCGCCTTTCGGTTTTTGTTCACCACTTGCTGCTGCTGCTTCCGCCTCCGCTTTTCACGCCTTGGCGTCGCCCCTAAACTTGGTATCAATCGCTCTGAGCATATCAAGGGATACCTCGCAATGCGATAGCGCAAAAGGGCTACGCAACACGATGTTTCTCTTCACGCCATGTTAGGCCCCAACTTTGCGAAGCACTTGCTCGCGTGGCACCTTTTCTTCCTGCTGCTCATCTGCCAAGATCACCAGCTTTCGTTGCGAAAGGACAGCTACACATCCATCTTGGCTTTCACAGACTGTGCTGTGAGGCAGCATGCTTTTCCGAGCTGCTCGGATTGGCCTACTCAGCAGCCAGGATGCCGTGCGCCTTTCCCTTGCGAGCCTCAGTCCAGTGAGCTCCATCTTCAGGGAAAGGTTCTGCGGCGACCTTTCTGTGGAGTAACTGGCGTCCTAATGCGTCACATGTGAGCTTGTCTCAAAATGGGGAGAGCCACAAAATGGGTTCCTTTAAAACAAACACATTTAGGCGCCAGACTCCCTTTGAGGCCGTGGCCCGCAAGTCTGCACGAACCTTGGGCCCCGCCTGGCTACGATGGAGTGAGCGACACAAATCTCCAAAGCGTCCTCAACGCCAAACCGGCTGCCCACATGTTGCAGGGGCCATCCCATATCAAGTCAAACAATGATGGTGGCCCCTTACGTGCATAAGCAATCCCATTGGCATTGGTTAACTACCCTCACTTCCGGGCTACCTGGTGAGCACGTCGCGCGCCTGATCGGTATGGTTGTGGGAAGCAGCTGGCGCAGGACGCGCAGCCTGTCAGAAAGCTTAGATCCGATCTCACGCGCGGTAGCCGGGGGTCATGCTTTGGCTTGCGTCAACACAACCTGCAGCACACAGGGTTCCCTTTATTGCCCTCAAAAAATCACCCACCGCAGGGAGACTCGCTTTAAATTAGAAACGAAACAGGCATGTCGCGCGCAACTCCCGTGCGGGGGGTCGTGGGGGGGGGCGGAGGAACACAGGAAACCCTGCAAGACAGTGTCCGCCAAACGTCGCCTAAGCAAAGCAGCCTCGGTTTTGTTCGCTCACAGGCTGGTAACCATAGACGCCGCCCACATGTCCAAAAGCAGGGCGTGTTGCCGCGGGTTGACGACACGACGACACGAGCTGCGGTTCTCCCTTCCTCCCCGCCTTCAACTTGGGCTTGCTCTGCGAGGCAGGCAGCAAAGACTTCGGGAGGGGGAAGCGGAAAAGCTGAGGCGAGGAGTCCTGAACTGCGCAATGACTGGGTGTGGTTCCTGTTAGAGTAAGGGTAGACCTTGCCCAACTTTTCTATATTATCAACCCGCGTGCCCCGCCCTAGGGTTTTTGTTTCTTTAAACAAGCACACGGAAACCCTTCTGGATGCCCCCTCTCGTTTCATCAGCTTCATCATCCAATTTTTGGGGCCCGGTGCTCCTTGTAGATTTTAGGAGTTTTCTGCAGTTTCTGGGGCAACCGTCGGCTCCGCCCGTGCTTCGTCCGGTCGCACATAAAGAAAGTGGAGGCGCGCCAGCCATGTTTCAGTTTTTCGCGGGCGGTCTTGACAGCCAGCTCATTTGCAAGATTGAGGTACGCAGACTTGATGGCTTCTCTCTCTCTCTCTCGCGCATTCGTCATGTGCGCTGTTGAAGCGCATTTTGAATTCAAAGTGTCCAACCGTCTTTTGACTTGAGCCATGACTTCTCTTATCTTCGTCAGGGTTCAGGGTTCTCTTCGTGCTCTGGCGGTGGAAAGCAGGGATATCATCAATGATTTCTCTGATTTGGCGCAATGGGGCGTCTCTGACAACAAGGCTCTTTGCAGAAGATGACCGTGCGCCATTGACAGCACCATGAGCAACCTTGGCTTCAGTAGCCGTGGCAAGGGCGCTAAGGACGGTGTCATCTTCATGGCTAAGTGGCAGTCAAGGTCAACGCTATGCTCATCAGCTCGCGGCACCAACAAGCTGGGGCAATGGCTCAGTCTTCAACCAACACTGCCCCATCTACCATTCAGGCTTTCAGTTGCACTGGCTACAAGCTGTCTTCTGATGAGCTTACCTTGAACATTTTGTTCAGGGACACGCCTTGCTTGACTTGCCCCAGCTTGACTTCAAGCTGTGCTTGTAGCACGGTGTGAGGGACGACCAATCCCATCCGCTCCCTTCGCTCCCGCAGCACAATGGACGGCGACCTCATTGAGATGCAGATTTATGATGAGGGCGACGCTCGCTACATCAAGATGATGACTGAGGCTATGGGAAAGGCAGTTGTGAGCGAGAGCGAGGACGAAGGCGAAGGCGAGTTGCTGGATTTGCTGGCTGCCATGGAATGGGAGGCTTACTTGCAGTCGCCCGTGGGTTTCTATGAGGATGTGTCCATCTTGGAACTGTTCAACCCCAGTGCCGATAAGCTCCTCTTCAAAACCCCATTGACATGTCCATGACAACGGTCAGCGTCCTGAAAGGTGAATTCCTGAGCCGCTTGAACTATGCGATGACCAAGGCTGGCAAGGGCGAGGGCGTCCTCATGACGCTTCAGGACTTCACGGTCAGTACCAGCCCGTGCTTCTTCAAAGACACGCAGGACATGGGTGAGATTGAGGGCTCAAGGATCTATCTTCACCTACACCTTTGGCCGGCTTGTTTACAAAACAGTCAAGAAAAAGACCAACAAGGATGCGGCGATGGGCGAGATGGTTGAGAACTGCGCTGAGCTGTTGGACCTCGCCAACACCACCAGCTAAATCACCAAGATTGTTGAGGCTTCCCACAGCAAGTTGGCTTTCCAGAAATTCTTGGAGTGTGTCCCTGACAACAAGTTGGATGAAATCACCAACTTCAACACCGGCAAGGCAGAGCTCAAGATGAGCCATGTGGTTGAGACCCTCACGCAGTATGTCTTGCCTGACTTCGTGGCTTTGCCGGGTGAAGTTGAAGCGGCGAACAGCTGTTCCAATTCGGTTTTTGAGCTCTTGCTGTCCAAGTTGTTCATGAGTGAGGGCGGGGCTTTCAGATACACCGAATTGTACAAAGGCATTCGACTTGGAGAAGATGGTTTGTGCTCGCTCATCCAAGAGAGCTGTGCAAGATGTCCAGATGGGCTGAAGGTAAGTCCCAGCCGTGCACCTAGTGCTTTGCTTGTGCCTGATGTCAGCAACCCACCATTGAAACAAAAACATGTTGTATCAAGTGAGAGCTGACGTCATGACATCGGCTTTGGTTTGGTCAAGCAATGGTGGCGTGGAAGAGTGAGCAAAACGGGTTTCCTGCCCTTGCTCTTGTGCTCCATTCCAAAACCTTAATAGGGTTCAAACCAAACCCCAATAAGGTTCAAATCAAGCCCCAACACAACTTCTTGTCGAACCCCAATACGGTTCAAATCAATCCCGATTAGGGTTCAAATCAAACCCCAATAGGGTTCAAATCAAACTCCAACTGGGCTCAAATCAAACCCCAATAGGGTTCATTCCCTACAGGGTTTGATTTTGCTTGCTTGTTTGCATCAGTTGCCGCGTCAGGTGGACGACGAGCTCTACAAGACTGGCAGGGCACTTGTCCGGAGCCTTGCGCGGAGCCTGCGGGGCGTGTGTTTGTTTGTTTGTGTTGGTGTGGGCACGTGTGTGTTTGGGTTTTTTAGGTTGCCCTGTTGGATTTCCCTCTCGGCGGATTTTTGGGGCGTGGGCGTGTTTGGTTCTTTCTGTGAGCGTCCCCCCCTTAAAGGCTTCGCCTCATCCGCGATGAATGCAATGATGGTGGATGTTGTGATGCACCTCCCTAATTCAAACTCATCAAAATTTCAAGTATCAAGCCGCTAGGTGTCTTATATAGGTCTCCCTGTTCATGAAATACTGGATTGTTTCCCCATTCTACTTTGGTTTTTGGTGGTAGCCTCTGCGCAGTTTCAAGATGTTTCTTTTTCCTGATGTTGCCACAACCGTTCTTACACAATGGTTTTGGTTTCCATGTTCTAATGCTAGTCCAAAGTCTAGTCCGCTTCCTGTCTTTTTTGCCGTACTTACAATAACCAATATGATTGAATTCAAGCTCACCAAAAACTCCTAATTTTTCAGTAATCCGGATTGCGGGTTTTCTATCAAAATAACCATTGTTAATACTATTGGGTTGGCATGCGCGATGCTCCTTGTTCCTGTTCTTTTTGCCATGCTATATTCCGCGCATGGTGGAGAAGCCCAAATAAATTGAAAGTGGTTTCTGCCAAATTGTTTGTAATCCCGTTCCAAAATATCAGTACTTATATCCGCATTGTTCAAGTCTAATGAGATGACATTATAACCGAGCAACTTTGCTATAGTTCCGACACTTTTTGTTCCGCGGAATAGTTCTAATAAGTTCATATTCTTAGAATTACTTAGATATTGCGTATTTGAGTAATACATATACTCCATTCATCAATTTTTGAAACTTTATAATAGTCTAGTGTTTGTAGTTTTGGAGTCTTGACTTTTCACTGTTTAACATACCACAGTATTTCTTCTGTTTTGTTTCATGACCACTGGTAGGTCTGCCTATGTCTTTCTTCTCAAAACTGTTCACGTTCAACTGGTTTGTTTTCATCAAAAGCTTTAATCATACCATGTAAGTTGTTAATATTTACAAATTTATGTTATCGTCCTCATTACATCATTATTACTATAATTCCCATTTTTGATATTACTATATATATATTTGAGAGTTAGTTATTTTCAAGAAGGTTCAATTATGTTAAAACTACCCTGTAAATACACTGTCAGTTCATTATTGAAACTCATTACATGAGTACATTTATCACATTTTTAAACCTTGCTTTCACCCATGCGTTCAACACTTTCTGCTGTTATAATTCTTTCTTGAACCTCTGGCAGTGGTTTTTCTTTGCTTTTACTCTTTTCCTTTTATCGTATTTATATTAACATTTGCACTTTTATTTTTCATAAACTGCCCTCCTAACTCAATTAGTTCTAATGAACAATAACAACATTCTTTAATCTTATTATCAGTTATTTTTACTTGCGCTATTTTTGCACTTCATCTAGTATATCAACATAACCTGAGTAACTTCTATTCGTATTAGGTAAAAAAATGAAATTTCAAATAATTTATCTTATTATTTCATGCATGTTAGAATATTCGGGGCTCAGCAATGGGGTTTCTTCGCACTGCGCACACAAGCGGGACACAAACTAATTAGCTTCAATGCTTATTGATTGAAGACATGGAAAGCCTGTTCCAGTTCAAGATACACCCCCTAGATCGTATCTGGAAAAGATGTTCCATTTAATGCAAATTAAAAAGAAATTTCTGAATATGTCTCATATCAACTATGACCGATGTTCCAATTACCAAACCAATAAATATAGCTGATTACAAGTTCAAACAATCTAAATACGAGCGTGCGCCAAACGAACCATGTAGAAATATTATTTTTGCGAGTTCGACAGGGGGCAAAACAGTACTTTGTCAGAACCTTATCTGAAATGTTTATGGACATTCATTCGCAAGAGTTTCTACCCAGAGCGCATAACGACCCTACATTTACAGAAGTTAGAAAGTATATACGTGATGAAGTGCACGTGGATGATGAAAAAGAAAAAACCATTTTTGAGAACTACCAACCCAAGTGATATAGAAAATGTAGCTGAAAGACAGAAGAAAACTTACTGTGTGAAATCTAAAAAGGTTAAGGAAACTACATTCAATATTAATCGTTATAGACGATCGTGCCGGTGACCCTGAATTTGTTAGATATAGGAAGTTGTTACACGGGCTTTTTACAAGAGGTAGGCATGGTGCAGTAAGTGTAATTTGTTCAACACAAAAATATGCTGTTTTAGCACCTAACATTCGTTTAAACGCAAGTTCATGGTGTATATTTAGGTTGAAAATGCCAGTAATTTAACGAGTTTTATTGAAGAAAAATCGGCTTTGATGATAAATAGCAATTGCTAGACATGTATCATCAAGCTGTTAACTTTGATCCATATTCTTTCTTCTACTTGAATATGAATGCTAAAGATATTAGTAAGATGCGCCGTACCAATGTTGAACAGGCTTTTCAAATTACAAATGATGAATAAAGAAATTCTGAACTAATATAACAATATGGTATTGAACTTTGTAAACGCAATGTTTTTATCACAGACGACAATATGAATTTCATCGCAATTCTTGGAAAACGACGACCAACAGACAATCAATTATTAAGGTTTCAAAAGCAGTTTTGTAATGAAGGATTTATTGAAGATGTTGAAACAGTTAGCACTGCTTCGTCATCTATGCCTAAGGAAAAAGTCTCAAAAAATACAAATATTATTATGCTTCTTTTTTAAATAACTGTTTTAAAATCATGAATAACTACATAACTTCAATTCAGGTAATTTATAACATGTCTTATCTTTTTGACATTCTTTAACTTTCTCTGATTTATTAGTTATTGCTTTCAGTGAATGTATTTGTATAATACGACTTCTTGACATTTCACTTCTCATATTGAATATCTATATCTTTTATTATTTAAACAAACTCATCATCATCAATTTCTACTCGTTTTCATTTACTTGAACCAATTATATAGACTATTTTGATTCAACATTTTCAACACTATCTTTTTGTTTCTTCTTCTGCTTCTTCTTCATCTTCAGGTGGTGCTGGTAGTTCATCTAGACTTTCTGGGGGAGCAGGAAGAGTATTAGTGACTTCATTAGAACTACTACTGCTACTACTGCTACCACTACTGCTACCTTGCGCATTTCCTGCCAATATCTCACTGACTAAATCTGCAGTATTTATGGATGTTGCAATTGTGCTGTGCGATAAGGTTAGTATTGCATCTGCTACTGTAGCGCCGCTGTGTAGCATGTGTTCAACCATTTTTGTCAGTTGAAACTTTTTCTCTTCTTCGTCGCTGTCCTCCTCATCTGGCGGTTTCTTTGGCGGTGGTTCTGGCGGTTTGCTGTTGTCAAGCATTGTAGCAAATGCTGAGACCATTGCATCGCGTTGGTTTTTCAGGGTTTGTGTTGCCTGCGTTCTGTTGGTTCATTTCTTTTGTATGTGTTGCGCCAGAAGTTTTGAAGCATTGTTTTGAACATATTGTCTTGGTTTTCCTTTGCCTTAAGCGCTTCAAATGTCACATTTAACGGTTGATTTGCCTCATTATATAACCTTTCTTGTGTCTCTCTGGTTTCTGTAGCAATAGTATCCGTGTCGGTTGTTGTGCCACTAAATTCTCTCGGTATGCCCTTTTGCATCATTTTCGGCGGCTGTCATCATCATATCTATCATTGAACTTCTGCTGTTTTGTTAAATATGTATTGAATCAAGATAATCATTATTACTTGTATTTAGATATTAATATTTCAGGATAGCCACTGGAACTACTTGCACGACTGGGAGGCTTTGCTTGC